TATCTAGATGCCTAAGGTATATAGCTGCTTTTTATATGAAATGATATTTACAATGTTTAATTACACATACAAACAAACACGCACATCACTCGTTGGTCACAAGAAGCAGAGGGGTCCCAGGATCACAGTGATCTCAGGGGCGGGGGGAATCGGTCCCGTCATTGCTATTCCCAGATCTCTGACAGGAAGCAACTCCATATCTCCTCGATGCAGCTCAGTGCTCCCCTGAACCCTCACAACCACATGTTCCTGCAAAATAATCAGGCAGGATAGATATGACGAGAACAGGGGAAGTGTGTCCTGTCTGAATTTATTATTATTTCCAGGGTTTGAAACCTTTTATGGGTCAGAAAATGTTATTCATGCAGCCTCAAACATCTGCTTACAATCTAAAATGTCTTGAGCAAATTAATTAATTACGTCCCTTTATTGATATTGTTGGTGATTTATTTGGTAACATTTGTTGCCAATACAGGAAGAACATACAATGTTCAGACAGTTTTTCATTAATTTACATTAATCTTACTCAAAAGAAAGGGTTTGATCTATAGTGCACAGTACCAATCTGTCTTTGTCTTTTCTTGCAATGCTGTCCGCACATTGTCGTAACACTACAGAGCTTTTTACAATATTTTTTTGACAATAAAAAGAAAGTTGCTAAACTGTAATAAGTTGTGTTTTGGAGAATGACAAAATAGTCTTACCTCACAGTCTTTTCTACTCACTCTAAGTAAGTGAGAATCTATTTCTTTGCCTGAGTCTCCCAGGATGTGGATACTCCAATTTGTAGAATTAGTTGTGGCGGCAGTGTTGGAGCCGCTCACTGCCCAGCTGACAGTCATGTGCTGGAAAGATGTATGGCTGTGTAATCGCAGAAACCTCAGCTGGACAACATCCATACCAGCATACTCAAACTAATAGAGACAGAAATCATGCATTTTATGGTGGAGGGAATAACTCACTTATTATTAGATGTAATACATTCTCCTCATTCTGACTTACCTTGTTTCCCTCATGTTGTTGACTAAACCACTGGAGGGATCTTCTTGATTTCTGCTTCTCTGGTTCCCACCTGAAGTTAATCTACACAACAGAACATTATTACAGAACAAGCACCGCCTTATTTATAACAAAATTAAATAGTTTTTCCCTTTCTTCACAAAATTTGTTTTTAATAGTCCCCAAAACCCACAAATAATTGGATAAGTAGCTTTTTATGTGCTATGACCATAGACTGTATATGACACATACTGGAGATAAATCTCACCTAACCTGCAACAAGTTCTATTGTTAAGTTGTTGCTGCAGCTGAAAACCCTGCATGAGCTCTGTAACACAATTAGACAATGTTAACTTTCTTATACTGTAACACAAATATAATCAAGTCTTCATGATGTCATTTATATCTCTAATGTCATTGGTTACAAAAGTTATTTCACTATATGACGTCATTTTCTGACTTCATAGCAACATCACAATGACGTCATACCTACCATGTGATCACAGATAATTTTTCTATCTATATAAACGTCAGCTCGTGTCCATAGGTCTGTATGATGCAGAGATATACTGCTAAAAAGTCATTTTTAAAATCTCCATGACATTGTTTTCTGACTTCCTTGTACTCCTTCATAATATCACTTATTAAATGAAATCATATTATAGGTAATTATTTTCTGATTAATATAAGCTTTAGATTTTATTCTAGTCTTATTCACAGAGATATCTTTTACTATCTACTATTTGGAGTATATTGTTGTTGACCCTGACCTGTGCTCCAAAAGTTAATCATCCGGAGATTCCCTTCCTAAGTAGCATTCCCACCAAATCTAATGAAAATCCCTCAGTGTTATTGTTGAGTTGTCTTGTCAACACACGCACAAACACACACACACATGCACACACACACACACACACACACACACACACAC